GTAGGTAAGTAAATAGGTAGTACAGTAGGTAGTAAGGTAGGTAAGTAAATAGGTAGTACAGTAGGTAGTTTGTAAGGTAGGTAAGTACAAAGATAAGTAGGTAAGTAAATAGGTAGTACAGTAGGTAGTAAGGTAGGTAAGTAAATAGGTAGTACAGTAGGTAGTTTGTAAGGTAGGTAAGTACAAAGATAGTAGGTATGTAAATAGGTAGTACAGTAGGTAGTAAGGTAGGTAAATAAATAGGTAGTAAAGTAGGTAGTGAGTAAGGTAGGTAAGTACAAAGATAAGTAGGTAAATAAATAGGTAGTAAAGTAGGTAGTTAGTAAGGTAGGTACTGTACGTACAAAGATAAGTAGGTAAGTATAACAATAAGTGGGTGAGTGGGTAAATGGCTAAGTAAATATGTAGGTAGTTAGTAATATATGAACTTAGTTTTGTCTGCAGGTACAAGTACTCTCAGGTAACTTCTGACCTGTAATATCCTGTATTTCAGCTCGTCCTCTCCACCCCCTTCCTACTCCAGAGACGCAGCCCCCCGTCCCCCAGGAGAGGACTCTAAATGTACCAACGTGTGCTCCAGGAGAGGTAGGCCTCAGTGTGTTCAGACCGGACCGACAGGTTTTCTGTTGACTCAGAACAGTTTAATAAACCATCACAGCTGTTTCCTGGAAGAAGGAAACAGGTCGGTTCTTCAAAAGTCGTGCAGAAAAATGTGACGATTAGAAATTCTCAGAACCTTTTTTGAAGGACAGTTTTCAGAAACACACGAGAAGACTGCATCTTCTTTGCATGATAGAGCTTTAACATGATTTGTGGTGGTTATAAAAAGCCTAAATGCTGTGATTACCCTCCACTCCTCCCGACAGGCATCGTGTTGATCTGCGCCGTCCTGACCAACGCCCTGGTCCTGATCTGCGTGGTGGCGGCTCAGATGGTGGTGTCGGGCCTGTCGGGTACCACCAGCTTCGACATCAACAGCAACTTCAACCTGGAGGGCACGCAGCTGCAGCAGGCGCGGGACCTGGACATGCAGTACAGCCAGATGAGGGCGCCGGGCGTCTACGGGGGCGTGGCCTGGAGCCTGGTCTTCGGCGTGGTCTCGCTGCTGTTCGTCGTGGCCGGGACCAAGCCCGCCCACCGGATGTCCCGGAGGCTGCTGGTGGGGCAGCTGGCGTTCCAGGCGGCGGGCGCCCCGGCCTACGTGGTGGCGGTGGGCCTCTACCTGCACTTCGTGACCACGGTCAACTCCACGGACGTGTGCAAGCGGCGCGCGGTCATCTACGCGGGCCGAGGCTACACCTGGATGAACTGCGACGTGAGCGGGGCCGACGCCGCCGTGGCCCTGTTCGGCCTCTTCACCGCCATCCTGTACGTGGCCGGCGCCGCGCTCACCTTCCAGACCATCAGAGGGGTGAGGCGCTACCTGCAGGAGAAGCAGAGGCAGGAGGAGGCCCGGGGCCAGGCCCAGAGAGGCCCGCAGAGGCCCGACACCACCTACCTGTGAGTCCTAAAACCTGGACCACGTGGGACTCGGACTCTGCGGTTTCCTTTTAAAAGTCAAAAACAAAATTTTTATCTTTAGTGGCTTCAAAACCTCAGAAATCTGCCTTTTTGTACAAATTTTTTTAAACATATTTCCTTCCAACTTTTTTTTTAATTTGCTGCCTTTTTTGATTTATTAAAACCAAAACTGAGATTCTTCTGTAAATAAACTGCTTTGAAACTTTAATGTTAATTATGAGCTCAGTAATTAAATCAAGTGATTTATTTTTATGTTTTTGTACTGGAATTTGTTTTTATGATGTATTTTTTTGAGCATCTATAATAATTCCTTCCAACTTTTTTTTTAATTTGCTGCCTTT